CTACTTTATGCTGTGTAAAAGATTATATATCTAAGAGTCAGCACATTAATTTATGAAGCATACTGGACTGATCTGTTGTGCTGGCACACAGCCTTGCTAACTTCATTCCAACTTTACTCTTCTGGAATTAGCTCTTTCAATTCCCAGTGCCAAAATGGGCTTTAACTTTAAACCTAATAAGGGATCAGCTTGCCAAACTCGGAGGTGACGTTTGATCCTAGCTATTAATGGGAGCAGAACCATCAACAACTGAATGGACTGAAAAGAAAAAACAACTTAGAGTCATGTTGCTGTTCTAGTCTTTAGGATTCTCCACCATACCTTCTGCTGGCTTTTAGCACAAAAGAACAAGACACTTTTCTTATACAGTCCTTGCAGAAAACATTCAGTTCTCATAAAAATAATGAAGCATGAAATTGGAGAATCAAAATAATTAGGCATGCAAATTGAGAAGTCTTTCGCGACTTACTTTTTGGCTAAGAATCATAACTACAGTATGTGCTGACATTATATCAGATTCACAGATAAACCAATAAAGGACAAGAAATTTCTTCTCAAGTCACAACAATATCTAACACTGGTAACACAGAAAAAGGCAGCAGAAATGCTGCAATGGAAGTAACACTTCAGGTAACCAGTGCGTGAATGGGAATTATAAAAACACAGATGGAAATTCAAATGTCTTCCTTTTGGGAACTTCTCTGCAAATGAATGGATGGACAAGCAGGACTCAATGCCTTAATGTGACTAAGCATCTCATTCAACTTAAAATGCCCTTTAGATTTTCTTTGAAAAGCAGAGTCATACCAATCACATTATTTCATACAAGCCTCCAACTCCTCCTTTGCCTTTTAAAAAAAATGAAAAAGGCAAACAAGAAAATCAGTGCACAGATTTCAGGCAAGGTGAAAACTCAAAACAAGCACATCTATGATTAGTGAAACAAGTCTTTTAAAATAGAAAATTTCAGTTTCTTCTTTCAACTTGCTTAGATGTTCATGAAATGGAACTCTGAAATATATTATGATAGCAGAAATTTACTTTCCGCTTATTTGCTTGTTTGGACCACATCCTTAACACAGACTTTAAAAAGCTATAAGGAAACTACTCCCCACTTTATAAGCAAGCAGCTTCTTGTAGAAAAGAGAGCATATACCAAGTTTAATGAGCCTGCAGACACAGCATTTATCCTTTACTCAGTACCTGTCCAGCAGAGAGATGCACAAGAGCCATGTGAAAATGATGGTCAAAAATCTGAAGTGAAAGTGCAGTTGAGCCAAATCATTGTTTCAGAACTGCAAAACTGGAGCATGGGGAGGACTTGTAGGAAAACCCTTTTCTACCTCGCATGTTTTCCAGCTAATGCCTGGGAAAGGGGTGCAGCACCTGAAACCCACTCCTCCACTTTGCTAGACGCATGATAAGAACACTAGAGTTGCCTGTCATACTGATTAAAAACATGAAAAAATGAAAAAATTTCTCCTTTGCCAGGAAAATATAAAGATGGGTTATCAGACATCCACCAGAAAAAGTTGAGATGAAATATGCATTGAGATCCAAGCTATTAACTATTCCTGTTCCTTGGTAGTTCAATTAGAAATGACTTCAAACTGTACTTAGTCATATCTTGCTGCTTTGGGAAATCATTATAAAATTGCAAACATTTGTTATAAGAAGATTTCCCATATACCCATGTGTTTTGAAATAGAAGTCAGGCCATGCAGCAGGGAATATTCTGGCCTTTCACCTCTGGAGAGCCAGTTTAAGTACATACTGTTCCACATGTGTAAGTGATTTTAAGGCTCCACTTAGTATCCTACTGTTACTGTCCAAAATTTACAGAGAGGCTCAGTACACTTTATGACAACAAGCTCCAGAATAGGTCAGGTTTATCACACGTCTGACAGCAAATGCACACTTTGAGGGTTTTTTTGTTGTTTCATTCTGTTTCTACAGCCTGCAACAAAGCATTCCAGGAGTATACAGAAGGATGCGTCAGTATTAAACATTTGGTATTTTTTAGTAATGAAATCTAATTCTATTTTTATATATATATATATGTATATATACACACACACACACACACACACACACACATATATATATATATATATTTTTTTTTTTTTTTGTACATCCACTGTATTGATTTATCAGGAAAATATTTCCTTAGAATCATAGAATCCTTGGAGTTGGAAAAGACCTTTAAAGGTTATCTAGCCCATCTTCCCTGCAATGAACAGAGACATACACAGCCAGATCATGTTGCTCAGGGTCTGATCCAGCCTCACTTTGAAAGTCTCAAGGGACGGGGCATTAACCACATCTCTGTGCAACCTGTGATATAATATTGCCTTTTTTTTGGGGGGGAAAAAGTCAAAAAGGATAAAAGAGTACATAGAGTTAAAGCTCAACTAGTGACACAACAGTAAAACAGGATTCAACACTTGCTGTCTGGAACAACAGCAATTTGGAGAGTAAATCTGCCTTCTAATTAAATAAGGGAGAAAATAATAAATCTTTGATCCAATGTTCAGTTTGATATGAGCATATCTTCCGCTGCAATTAATAGCAATCACCTGCACAGTTATTTTTTAAGCCTGCTCTCTCCCTACATGTTTCTAATGAGAGTAGAAGGGATGGAAAAGCATATTTGTGTATAGTAGAGAAGCCTGTACAAACATGATAGATTCTTAAGCAACCTGAAATTGTTTCACCAACTAGCAGCTGTCCCCAGATGATCAGTAACTCTCTAGTTACTTCACCAGCAGTCAAAATACCTAACAGGCTTTGAGAAGAACAGGATTTCTAAAATATTACTAATAAAGCTTACATATTAAGATATAATAATATAATAATTTACTAAAAAGAATTTAAAAGACATCACAAATAAAGAAATTGTTATACACGTACCCTAATTTTTGACACTGGAAACTAAGAGTCTGATCACAGGTTTGACCTGATACAGATATTCTTATGATTCTGAAGCCTTTGCTATTGTAGAATTTACTATTTGAGATTGCCAGTACTCAATGAAAGCAGAAAGGCAAACATCACTTTTTAGATGAGTACACCTAATATGCTACATATGCCCAGCAAGAAACTAGATTACAGGATTCATTAGGAAAAGAGTGGGGAAAAAAAGGAGAGGTACCAAACACAAGAGTGTTTCTACCCAAAACAAGTATAAGGGAGGATGAAAAAAGAAACAGAAGAACTATCAGAGATACACTCTGACTCTATGCATAATAGAACCTGGCAGGATATGAACTGCATAAGCAGAGCATCAATATATTGAAGGCATGTGTTGAATCAACCTGAAAAACTGTCATATCAAAGTATATACACTGTTCAAAAGTAATGAAAACTCTTTTAAACTTTAAATCATATGAAATACTTAAGCTAACACACTTGATATATGCCTGGAACTAAATACCTGCCTTGCTTTATATCAATGTGTTTATCTTCCCTAATGTAAGCTGACCTCACTCCCATGCTCCTGACAACTGTCAAATCAAACTGATAGGGTCTATTTTCTCACAGTTTTCTTTGAGAGTGTTATTAACATCTATTTTGTTCATATTGGGGTGTGAAATATTTCCAAGACCTTTTATAGCTTTAGAGTGTATTTTGGACAAGAAGACTACTAAAAAACAAACACACAAAAAAAAAAATCACAACAAACACTACAGTCTAATAGCAAGCCACAAATAAAGGATAAATACTTCAGAAATTCTTAGGCTAAATTTCACAGCCCTCAAGAAGAGAAAAAAGTTCTCAGCATATCTTACTGAGAAGGACTTTCAGAATACAGATAAAGACATTCAACAAGTATGAGGAATAAGAAGCAGAAACCAATTTTATACTGAAATTTACAAATAAACACATTACCCACACCAGAAATTACCCAAATGGCATGAACCTACTTTTTATTCTTGAATCTCACTTATTATTCTTTTTTTTGTCCAGAGTCTCCTCTGAACAGGGTGTATAAGAAAGGTAATGTGAAAGGCAAACGCATAGAATGAACAAAGGTGAGTAAGGCCTCTGACATAGGAAACAACAAGGAAGAAGAAAAAACAAAAAAACACTTTTACCCAAAGGCAGAAAACATAATGTGGACTGTTATTACTACAAAATACATATTCTCAACAGTTTTTTATTAGAGCTGTAGGCACTGTTACAAAAGAGGACAAACTGTGGGCAAAGTGAAGCTTGAAGAACATTTCACATGCACAATTTAACTTCAGTAATGTCACTTCTAAGCAAAAATCTGTAGCATCGTGATAAGAGAGTGAGTGAACACAGACATCATCACTGCACAATTCCTCCTCTTTCTGAGGAGTACAAAGGGGATAAAGTCAGAATAAAGCTGAACAAGCTAATGCCAGAAAAATCAAAATGATGGAGAATGTTACTGAATAACATCAGCAACCAAGAGAAGGCATTTGGAATTATCTTGCAATTGTAGATTTCTACAAAAAAAAAAAAATAGAGGTATCATCAAATAATTCTGCAATTCTCTTCCTCAGTACAAGAAATATGCATGACATCAGCCCAGACTTTTCAAGCCATTGGAGTTGATGCATGCCACGCTCTCAAGTGACTGTGGCTGAAATACTCAGCTGAAGGGCTGGACAGACTTCTTATGGCAGCAGACTATTACATTACAAGTAAGACAAGATGTGAAATGACAGCCCAAGAGGGAAATCTCTTTATATTTGTTTATATGAAACAGAACCATGAGCAGTCAGAGCAGTACTCTGTAAAGTTAAAACAAGGACCAGCACTATAAAGCAGGCAATAGGGTGGCTTTACAAAGCCAGAAAGCTGTATCCTGAATTTGACTGATTGTAAGGCTGAGGGGGATGCTGAAGCAGCAGATAAAGCTGATGTACTTGTAAACTTTCCAGCTGAGGCTTTATTTGTCTGGTTTGGTACTCCCCTCGGTGGGTGGGGAAGCTAGGGACTGGCTGACGTCACCCAGAGGAGGAATAAAGCACAGTGCTTGGGGTGACCACAACATCCCAGGAGTCAGCTGCCCTGTCCTGCAGGTGCCCAGCACACATCCTCCTGCAGTTCAGCCCTCATACACACAAAAGGAAAACAAGCAGGAACCCAGCAGCACCCAGCCACGATGCCACAGAACGTTATTCTTCCAGGACCGGCACCCTGGGGATTCAGGCTCTCAGGAGGAATAGATTTTAACCAACCTTTGATCATAACCAGGGTATGTGCTTTGTTCATTTCCTTTATATTTGTTGTATTTGACACCTGCTGCAGATTTTTGCCCTTTACTTTTCTTAAATTCAGAGACACAGATGAAGCTGTGCACAGATCAGCAAGCAGCTGCTGGCTCTGAGCAGAGCTAGCCGAAAGCTAACTGCTTTAAAAGTTTTGTGTAACATTTCTATAACTTTGTTATTGGTCTAAAAGAATACTTCTAATTATGCCCCAAAAATTAAATTCAAGTGCTCTGGCAGCAGGAAAACTTTGTCATGATTTCCCCAAGCATTCAGATAAGAAAATGAGTTCTGAGCCTCTGAAGGCCAGAGCCCCACTGCTCCCACTTTCATTGCCTGCCTGAGTGCTCACCAGGGAGACATCGGCTGGCAGGCAGCTCCTCATGCCTGCAAGTTTGTGTTCTGCAAATTCTCCGTGCCAACTTCCTGAGATGAATCTAACTTTAATTAAACTGAAGTTTGCATGTTGCCAGCAAAAGCAACAGCACCTGCTTTTAAATCTGAAAGTTTTCCACTTTCATGAATGTTTAATTAAGGAATTATCTAAAATTATCTATCCTAAATATGCAAGAGAGAATACGTCTGTGTTTTCTGCCATATTTAGTAACAGACAATTCACGTTAACCCCCCACTAAAGGGCAGGAAGAACTCAAGCCAAAATATTCCCATGATTTTGAACTATTAATTGCAAATTGCTTATGAAATAAATTACTTGATGAAAGGAGCATATAAGCAGACAGCTGCCATGCATCTACAGATATATATATCCTGTCATTAAGTAGACTTGTATTTCAAATTTTTTTTTATTGTTATTATTTTGAAAACTGTGTTAAACACATTAAGGATCAGAACTAGTTCTCCTTATGTTTTTGCTGCTTTTTAGCACCTCAGACACACTGAGTATGCAATGCATGAGCCACCAAGCCCCCGGCACCTTCCCCCCCTCCAAAGCTCCGCACTATGACTCAATATATACACTATGTCTGGTATTAAATAAACATCAAAAGCCTTGAAGGATGAATGTCACTCTTGATGCCTTGCAGTAAATACACTTCTAAACAGGCCTCCACAGAAGGCATCAAGCCTTTTTCTATTATACCAGTAAGAATTAATTTCTTTTGATCACTTACTCCAGATTCACACTAGCATAAACACAATTACTTTAAGTGTAAATAAAAGAGAGTGCACAACTTCATAAAAAACATTCATAAGATATAACAAAAAGCTTTAAGCAAACAGTAGACAAAAAACAATGAATAAAGAAAAAAAAATCTCTGGATTTTTTTGGGCCTTCATTGCCTTTTATGGGCTTCCAAAAGAAAAATAGTTTCCATTATCTCTAATGAAAAATATTTTAGCAGTGTCTGGTTTGTATTTCCTTTGTGTTTAGATTAAGTGCAATGAAGTTTAAAACTACTGTAACAAAGGATGTTACTATAAATGTAACTTTCTAAAGATTTTGCAATTGACTCATACCTACCAAATGTCTCACAAAACATAAGTCATGGGCTTTTAGCAAACTATGGCAATACTCAAAAATCACATTGCAAGTAGACCTATGAAATAATGTATGTATGTATGAGAAAGAAGATGTTTATGTTTGCTTAGCTTAAGTTTAATGATTTTAATGGTAGATTTGTGTAATCTTAAGGTTTTTTTCAGTTGTGGTGGCGAGTTTTTTTTGCCACATCATACAATTAGAAGAATCTTCCAATAAGTATTGTGCTGTAGATCTTAACCACTAGTGAACAATTTGTGGGATTCGCATACCCTGCTTTTTTGGGCCTACGTGTTCGTTTCATAAGAGGAATCAACAGTAGTCTGTTCACATTTGGCTCAACTGTCCTGACAAGAAATGCTGTTTGCTATAAAGAGGAGGACAGAAATTATTTTCAAACATTTTGAATAAAACAATTGAACAGGTGTACATTTAGGTGGCTATAACAGCCTGTTGTTCAACAAGAAAAAGCTTTTACTAGAACAAGTCAGAGGGCCCACGGCAGAGGAGATCATCATACACCTGTCTAATGAACAGATGCCATCTCAAAAATCCATTTGCAATTTTTCCAAGCAAGACAATTCTCTTGACTGTTTCAAGCAAATGCAAAGACCACAAATCCCGTGATCTCTGAAAGGATGGAAGAAAGAAGGGGGATAAAAATAGACACATTCAGTTAGATTCTATTAGGGTCAAAAATGATCAGCTAACTGGAAATAAGGAAAATATTTTTTTAAATCCTTGGAACTCTACAAAGATGAAAGAAATTATCTAAGCAAAATGATCAAAACCCCAGTATCATGAAACAGAACAATTTCCATCTATGTTGAGCAGAAGATAACAGTTTGGGTCACGTATTTAGAGGAATGCAAACCTAGACTTTAAGTCATATTAAATAAAGCGTTACACAAAATTAAAACTTCTGGAGGTTGGAGTGAATGGTAAAACATTATTAACTCTAGATTTCAGTTCTGTTTTACTGCAAACTTTTACAGATCACGATGCAAGTATTTATATTAATTCAACTTCATGTTTAGCCTCTCTACCTGCAAACATTCAAAACTTCATAAAGTAAAAGCTTAAAATATTTATCAAAGTGTAAATCTATTAAATAGATGCAGAGTGTTTTTCTTCAGACATTAACAGACATTAACCATGTGGAATAGAGAGTTATCTCTGTCAACATCTGAATGCTCAACAGCTATATTATCCAAATAAAAAGGAGAATGCAGGAACAATAGATACATCATACAGATGTGTCTGAAAGAGCAAGAAAAAAGTTTTCTGAAAGTACCAGTAGGATCTATCTCACAAAGCAGGGATGGCCAACAAACGCTGTGCTCGTAACATTTTGTAAGTAGTCACAATGCACATTTCATAAGTCACTAACTAGTTCCTTAAGATACGGCATCACTTATTGAGGTACCTGCAATGTCAATGCTATACCTGTAAAACTTTGTGACCACAGAGTGGTCCCTTTCTTCACTTGAGAAAGAATGACAGAATGGCTGGTTTTGCCCATTATATTTAGAGCATTAGAGAATTTAGCAGACATTCTAATGCCAGCGGCCTCTCCTGCAGTTGTCATTCCATGCATGTCCTCCACATGCTAGACAAAGTCGGGAACAGGCTACAGGAAGAATGGTCTCTCCCACCCATTTCTTGCTGCAGTAATGTAAGTGGTCTCAGTGGTTTATTTAAACTAGCAGCTGTTGAAATTTGACAAGCAGATCACTCTGGGGTCTCCAGACTCAGAATCTGCAAGAAACTTTCTTGATCCATATTCAAAATGATTATCCAGGCACCTTAACACTTTGTTCAATACAAAATAGGCAAGCTTATCCTTTTGGATGTTGGTGGGGCTAATAACCTCCAGCTGGTTACAAGCACCTGTTTTGAAAGCTTACTTAACTCATGTGATAATAATACATGCACTACAGCTTGTTGCAGAGAAATAACAAATAAGTTTACAAGTAGGAAAGCAGGAAAAAAAAAAAAAATGACTGCAAAACCCTAATTTCCTCAAGCATTCAAACTCACTGAACATAGATGGACAGCTAGAAAGAGTAAAGAATGACTGGCTGACATTTCCCACTGTTTCAATAGTGATACTCTTTTTGGCATGCATTGTTTGGTATTTCACCTGGAAGAATCACTGTTACTGAAGTGCAGTAGGACTGAAGCACTTTAAGGAATTCAGGATCCAGGTTAGACATGAATAAAGAGAAAATATTATTTCAGTATTACTGGCATTTTTATGATTACTTAAATAGACAACATGAGAAGGCAAGCTTGCAGGAAATACACTCACTCCTGTATGTTGTCCGTAAGCACAGTGAGACCATAAATGTCCTTCTGTGTTCCCCAGTCAATGAAAATCACACACATGAACAATAAGCACAACTATTTAGCAGAGTACTATTTTGCTACTGCCTCAGGTTTCGAAGAAGAACATCACCACTTTCTCAATCAAATCACACAATGGCAGTTGAGATGAAAGGCTCAAAGACAAGTTAAAGTAATTACAGAAATTAAAGTGGAACCTATTTAATTCAGAAAGTGTGAAAACAATTTTCATCTACTTTGAAGTTATGATGAATAAAGCACGCCTGTTGGTCTGACAATAAAATAACAGAGAAACCACCAAAACTGCAAAGGCAAGGCTTTTGGGAGAAATCAGACAGTTCTTTATATACCCACTCCTCCCACACCCAGTCCAGCAGAAAATAGAATGAATTTCACCATACTTCCCTACCAGCTACTAGGTATGAATGCAACTTCACTCAGAATTTGTTTTTCAGATTACACCTGGAAGCAAGGCTTCTACTGCCAACTTGTGCCCTGGTGATGTTATTGTGGCTATCAATGGCCTAAGCACAGAGAACATGACACACAATGATGCTCAGGAAAGAATTAAAGCAGCTACACACCAGCTTTCCTTGAGAATAGAGAGGTACGTGAACATATCTGCTTATTTCTGAGAAAAGATACTGTACAATCAACCAACCAAGATACTGCAACCATTATGTAGGTTAACTAGATCAAATAATTCTGAGAATTTCACAAAACCTTTCAAATTACACACATGCAAACCTACCTCACCAACTCCACATCAGGCAATAGTCCCAGAACACATCCTCAGGAACCGGATTAACTTCCATCAAGGAACTCTCCTGAAGAATCACTGAGCTATGAACCCTATCCCTCACTGCCTCTACTGACTTCATAAGCTTTATATTTAACATAAGGAAATATTCTTAGCATTCTTGGGAAATAAAAAGCTGGAAAGGGCCAAGCAGAGGCCTTAGCTAGCTATCACTTGGTCAGTTACCTCAGTATTCTACCACTCTCAGCTCCAAGCACTTATCACTGCCTCCTGCCCTCAAACACAGGTGGAAAAAAAGTAGCTAAAAAAACAAAAAGCCCTCTTACCTGAAATGCACAAGCCCAGAAATTTCTTACAGTCATTTCACTCTGCTAAAGCTATCATGAGGAACCACATACATCTTCACGTCCCCTAAATGTGTTTGTTCAGCCTTTAATCAAAATCCCTTTCCCAGCTGTCTCCAGGAATCAGACAACTCTGACCAACCTGACGCCCTTAGGGAGACGCAGCACTTTGTTCCAGCTGACCACAATATTCCTTTCCAAATAAAGGAGTATTTTTCTTGGAAGAAGAATCGTCTAGTTACTAGAGCCTAGACTTTAGATTAAAAATTCCTACACTTAATTGCAGTATATCAATCTGTTACAGGCTGCTACATACCATTTAACAACTCTCTTAAGAAGTATTTAAAAACATGGTAAGTGTAATTTTCCATGTGAAGTTTCAGCAAATTTAAAAATACTAAATATTTGGATATACATAACAAACAGTATTACTGTATATTAATGTTTAATGTTAGTATTGCAGCATTCTAAAATCAGCTGCCAAATTTTCCTTTGCCTGTGAAGTCAGAATTGTAACTGTTATTTATGTGTTGCTATCTGCACTGAAGTAACTGAAAGAATATCTATGCAACATCTATTTACAATTGGATATATACCTTGTGTACCTAAATTGCACCCTTCCTCCATTGAAAAGCAGCTCTTCCACAGATATTGTGATCATGAAAAAATAAACTGATATTGAGGTTTAGGAAAATTCCTAATATACACATCTATTTGTGCAAAATATTTAAGATATCCAAAAAGCTATCAAACATTTAAAAAACAAAGCTGTAAAAAGCTTGCTCTACTCAAAACAGAAACTGACTAGTTCTCCTTTGCATTCCATTAACTCTTAAAAAATTATTTCCAATTCTTCATAATGTAAGTAATTGAAAAAATATACATATACTTTTTAATACAGTTCACATATAATACACAAATACTGTTAAAGCACTTTCATGTTAAAACAGTAACAAAGCGTAAAACAAACTAAACTTTCAAACTATACTAGCTTTTACCAGAGATATATAACTATACAGGAATTCAAGTTCTTTAATCTCTGCCTTTTTCTCTTTGTAGGGCACAAACTAAATTATGGTCGCCGCAAGTTTCAGAAGATGGCAAAGCAAATCCCTTCAAGATAAATTTGGAAGCTGAACCACAGGTATGAATTCTTTAAATTTACCTAAGCATTTTCACTCATGTATTTACACTTCAAATGATCTCCTTTGTGGTCATTAAAATTCTTTGAATACCACTCCATCCATTATCTACCAGTTTAAGCAAATACGAATCATAACAGTTTTCAGATATATAAGCATCACCTTATTTGATGGACGCTTTAGTTTTTCAGCTACAAATGAAACAAAATTTTAACAAGCTACAACACATACCCATTTTTCTTTAAAACTGCACATATCACCACAGTTCTACTATGGATAAAAATACCTCCTTTTATTCTGATACTGTTTAAGTTGCTTTAACTCCTTCAGAGACTTTCTGATGAAGTCAGGAATGGATGTCAAACACCAGTGCAATGCGTCCATCACATCTCAAAAGTCTTTTTAATGTAACAGGTAACACAACAGGGAAATACATTAATGTTGCTTCTCTCTGTTTCCATGCACTTTTACACCGTACTACAGAACTGAAAGTTACAAAACTGTTCAACACCCATGCACTGATCAATAAGCAAATCATTCACCACTTTTGAACAGCCTGATCCTGTTTCTTGTACATGAGCAAAGTAAATCCACTCAGTTTAAATCCTCCTTTCTCTTAAACTAATACCCAGTTCCTGTGCAAATCTTTGAGCAGGAGTTTCCATGTTGTTATCTGTTAATTGTCTAGCTGTTGTCTATAACTAGTGCTTTACTTCCTTCACCACTCCTCCTTTAACATACATAAACATTTGCTGTAGTCTCAAGAGAGAAAGGGAAAAGAGCATTCTCATTGCAGGTCAGGATCAAAGTTAGCATGTCAAAGTGTTTATTTTGTGTTACCCCAGGGAAAATAAATAAATAAATAAATAAATATTTCTATTTCTATATTCTATTTGAACACATTCTATGCAGTGAATGCTTCCACCCATTCTGTTCTCACAATTGCACTCCAAAACATGAATACAGCATTCTGGTGTTCTAGTTCTCTCTCTGTTCTGCTCTAAAGCCTTTATGTTAGACGATTCAGCAAACTTCAAGAGAAATAATCCACCTTCCTCAGCAGTAAGAGACAGTATAATGAAGAAACAAAATAGCTATTTTAAATGCATATTTCTGTGGAATAGCTGGGATATACATAGAAGACATAGCAGTAGAACAAAGTGACTACAATCTGTACAGAAAATGATGTAGGTATGTATTACAGGACCGTAATCCCTTTTACATGTATGCTGCATTCCTAAGAGGAGCTGTTAGTTAAAAATAAATCATAAGATTTCTCAAAGTGCTATTTGGCAGGCTACTGAAAAGCAGTCTCCATTGGGCAGTTAGAAAAAATATCTATCCCAGATTTAAACAGCCAGCATCTCCATATGGTACAGAGGTATGTCTACTTCTTTCCTTTATCAGAAAATCAGGAGTACTAATTAATTTCAATAACTATTAGGTATCAGAAAAGCAGCAATGTTAGAAAACAAATATGCTAAACCATCCTCAGGACAACTAACGTAGTTAAATTCTGCTGAAGAACATCCATCAATCTGTTCTACCTGTGTGAAAAAAATATAGCCTTTTTTCTATAAGTGCTGAAATTTTAAACTTAATTTTATGGCGTATTTTGTCACAGCACATGAGACCCTGTGGTGTGTATACCAACAATGCAAGCAGCAGAATGAAAATTTGCCAGATGACCATTTACAGCTCAGCTACAATCTGCATAAATCACAGTAATGTGCACTGCTGTCTAACAGTGAACATAAGCATTGAAGCCCAGGCGAGTGAAACAAAATCTAAAAACAGTATAGTACTACTTCAAATGCAAATCCCATTTATCCAAAAGTATTGCACACACTGGTTGGTCTACAAAAATGGAAAATCACCGAGTTGTATAAAAAGTATTTCTGACATCTGCATAACAATTAAAATCACTCAGAAGGTGACAGATGTTATAAAGATAGTTAGAGCTTTTCACTTTTGCCAGATACATGATCTAAAGTACACTAAGAAAGTTTCACAAGGGGGGAAATCAGTAATTTAAAATCAATTAGTAGCTAACTATATAAGAATAAGACTTAAACAATCTTCTTAATGATTTTAATTTGCAAGCTAATAAAAGGTAGTTATAAATGAAAGTAAAACATTAAATAGTTCAGCAAATCAACAGAAGGTCAGCAGATCGAAAGTGTTCTGTTGATGCTTGGAGATGGTTATGTGAAAAGTGATAAAACAATTAACACTGTGCCTAGTTTCAGCTATGGAACAAGAAACCTTTACACAGCGGAAAGCTTTTGCATTAGGCTGAGCAGCTCCAGTCATTTGGAGACTAATAGAGGCAATTGTCAAAGCAAATAAAAACTCCCCAGAGGAAAAACTAGTGGAAGAGAATATAAAGATAACAATCCCAGCAAACAACTTCCAGTGGTAGTTGCTGATCAGGAGTTCTGAAAGCTCTTGAAAGCGTTCCCATATAAGAACCAACCACTTCATTTTGTTAATCTGGAGCAACCAATAGCACAATGAATAATAGGAAATAATAGACTACTTGAAGTACTACTAATATATTTCCCTCATATTCTGTAAAAAAGTAATTTAGAACAGAAGGTTCTCAAATAATATAATTAAGAAAAGACAATCAAAGTAAATGACAAAGTGAATCTTATTTAAAAAAAAAAAAACAAAGAAAACAAAAAAGAACCCCTCATATATACTTTTCTACTATATTGTTAATGTAAAACAACACTATCACCTGTAAATTTTTTTTGTCATTTACAACTCTTTTAATCTCAGGTAAAATTGTTTCCATCATCACAATTTCTTGAATTGTTTTTATTTGTGTTTTTTTGTTTTGTTTTGTTTTGTTTTTATTCCTTCTATCTTTGCTTTTGAACATTCTGTTTCCTGTTACTAGACCTCTGGCCTTAAAAGACATAATACATTCCTTGGAAATATAAATATACTGTATACATAGATAAGTCTATAAATCTAAACAAAACAGAACATTCTACCAAATTTATAGTTTATTACTACTTCTAGTCAAGTACTGAAATTATACACTTACACTCATGTTGTTTTGAGGACCTAGCCTGTCTTCTGTAACAGCATTCACAGAGATTTTATTCACAGAGTACCTCAACATGTAAACCTGTGTGTACTCATGGCAGTTAGCCCCAAAGAATGCCATTGTACAATCCTTGCTGCATACACTTCTATAGACTTCTGGGGCCGTGTTCATATTGTTCCTGACACCTGTACCAAAATGCAGAATGTACTTAGTCATGCAAAAAAAACCATCAGTCTCGAAGAAAAAAAAAAATTAAGAAATGAAATACCATAATTATCACACATTCCTGATTATGAATTTCAACAACATCCAGTTCTCATTTTGCTTTTGAAATAAAAGAAGACTTTTTACAGACTCAGTAAGATCCAATAAACACAAGAGCTGGACTGTTTTTGCTGCTGTATGTTCTGTCATTGATATTTTATATGAAGAGATGATTTTAAATTAAAAAGGAGTTAATTTAAGTTGAATTAACTGCAAGTAATTTTTTCAAAACTGTTATATTGTAAATATGCTACTCTGATGCCACGTCTCCTGTGCTGTTCATTTGTCAACCTAATTAAATGGGGTGAAATGACAGTGTTCCTTGTTGCTTTTGCTTGCTTTGTATTCATACGTGGATTTAAATCAATTTAAAATATTTTGATATTAATATATTTCATGAGACATGAACCTAAACAGTAGTTGCTTACTTCCATTTACTAATAAATTTTCTCAATTGCAATGCAGTTCTGACAGAAAGAAACAAAGATTGCAAGCACAACCTTTGTGCACATCTATCTGATTGCTTCTTTCAATAGTCTCTTACAATGTAATGCTGCTAAACTCTCCCATTTAATACAACTGCTTTTACTGTTTGCATTTCCTGACTGCACATTCTATATAACCATGACTTTTCTTTTCATCTGTTCCTAAATATATTCCTGCAACTGTAGCTTTAAATGAAAACTACGGAGCCAGTTCACATTCAGGTTATCATAATTTCAAAAATTAAAATCTACAGATGTCAAAAATGTGTCCATGCTTATCTAATCTGCTCTCCTGAATTACTTATTCATATTCATATATTCATACTATATGCTTACTTAATCTTATTATCCTGAATTAAGTATTCAAATTGTATTGTATTTGTTACTAATTTGTTTTAAGTCAAATTTTTCTAGCATTCCTAAAAGCATAATCTAAGAAAGGCATTTTTGCATCTCAAAAAAATAAAAACTTTGTTTAAAAAACGACTTAGCAGAACAAGAAAACTCATTTGCATAACTTGCAAGATTTAACTGAAAGACCACAATTGCATCAGAATAATTTTAATACTGAAGATGTTGGGTATGTAACAATTAAAAAACACGTGACAGCAAATACACAGCATAAATTGTACGTAATGATTAAACCAATCTGGAATAAAATTGATAGGGGAATATCAGAACAAACCCTCCATAGATCATATGACACTGTGCGATACCAACGTGATTACATACATTGTCTACGGTACTGTAGCATTACTCCAACCACACTTTTAAGTGTAGAATATAACTTTCAGGAATAAGAAAGGACTCAGCATGTGTGAAAGTTCTGTCCTCGGTTCAGATTTCATCCTCTGTAGATTTGCTGTCAAGTGGCCTAAACCTTAGGAAAATCAAACACAAGGCAAAATACACATCCCACATCCAAAGTCAAGATAGCAAATTGGCAGAGCTAAGCTACAGAAGTAACAACAATCTCTGCTATCTTACCATTGAAACTTCCAGTCTCTAAAGAAGAATGCCATTCAAACTGTAGAAACCTCTGTTAGGAATGAGACTTTTTTATTCTATATCGATCAAGTGCACACATAGCACTGTCACTGAAAAGCACTGCAGGACAGCAGCAAAGGATGATGGACTACAGTATCAAACACTCTTCATCCACTGAATGTTTCTACAAGATGAACCTAAACAGTGTAAAATGTAGAGAATACAACAGGTCATCTCACTCATTTCTTCTTGAACTTTCATGCTACTCACAAATGTGGAATGGCTTCTGGTTGCTCTGAGACAAAAAAACAATCTCTGAATGTGTACGGCTTCAGAAGAAAACAGAAAATTCATAGAATAATATAGTATGCTTGCATCAGTTAAAAAATAACAAAGTTAAAAGTAAAAAATGCAGAGATTAACAATACTGATGTCAGTTTTACTCATTACTAGCTTTGGTGTGCATTGTAGCTCTGTGTATTTTGTCTGCCTATCATGTACAGGAATTCAAGCCTATTGGTACAGCTCACAACAGAAGGGCCCAGCCTTTTGTTGCAGCAGCAAATATTGATGACAAAAGACAGGTAGTGAGCTCCTCCTATAATTCTCCAATTGGGCTGTACTCATCTGGCAATATACAAGACGCACTCCATGGACAGCTGAGGAGTCTCATTCCTAACGCATCACAAAAGTGAGTACTGGTATTTTTTTGTGTTATATCACTATCTGTTCTGTTTTCAGTTAAAAAGTCCAGCTCTTGCTGTTTTTTTTCTGATAATCAGGAGTTTGTTGGTTATCCAAAAAATGATGATAAATGAAGCAATTTTTTCCAACACAGAAAACTCTACATTCAACTCTGTAGTAACACTGCAGGTACCTAGAATTCTCCTCCCCCTACTGATCTGCAACACTGCAATCTAATTCTTTTCTAATACCTTTACTTTGCAGCTTTTAAGTTCCAGGAATGTACAAAATAAAAAAGGTTACTTCATAGTTATGATTTTAAAGCGTTATCAGCAACCTTTTAGCTAGAAGTAAACATTTATAGGCTTATAGAAAGATATTTTAACCCTTTTTTCTTTACAGGATATGAACTACTTTGAACACAAGCATAATATTCGGCCCAAACCTTTCATACTCCCAGGCCGAAGCAGGTTATAAACTCTGAGTGCTGTGATGAGTTTGAATGCATGGTGTTACTTTTTAATGGATACTCACAGTTTGCATTAATATAGCATACTGAAGCATCTGAAATTACCTTATGGTGGTATATTATGTATGGCTGGAGTTTAAAAACCTGAAGTGCTTAACTTGCAGATATCAGGCTCAAAATTCAAAATTGCCGAAAGCAAACAGGTCCAGGCCCTACTCTCAGCTATACATATATGATTCTGAAATAACTGCAACCACAAACCTGATTCAGTTTATAATGTGGCACCAAGTATTGTACACTTAGAAATATACAGAGCTTTGAAATTCTGTCCAAAAACAAATGTGTGAGATTTCTTCACTTGCTAAATAAAAGATAGGTACTTCTGCAAGTTAAAGTCCAGGCTGTGTGGTGATTTTAAGTTAAAATTTCAGCAGATAGGTGGTCAGAAGATATCCTAATGACTAATGCAGAGCTAGAATAACTACCTACTGTTACAGACGTGTATATCTGTAAAATGCAGAATAGCTTATATATTAATATTAATTGTTTCGGTCTAATATTCCTCAATCATAGCTGGGGGTAGAATGTCTAATTTACTATTATTTGCAGTACTAAATGCAGAGGGGAGAGGGAAACAATGCAAATTCTTTCAAGCTCAAAAGGGCTCAACCAATACAATATACTGCTATGTTATTTTTTATGCTTTCTAGCAGTAACGGGTTTTACCAGTGGATTCAGTGTTCTGTATTTCATTCTGAGGGTCAAAAATGCCTGTATGCTATGTTATACTACTTCAAGTCTGACAGACTAGACTGAAAAAGCAGAATAGTTGATTCCTGCATACAAAGGACAATCTCATATGAACTATCAGTTTTGTCAGATGTATTTTATTTTTTTTCACTATCTGAGTGACAAAGAGGAAACTAATAGACAGAGACCCATCCTTCTGTGAACAAAAAGAACGATGTAGAATGGAGAAAACATGCCCATCTCTACTAGGAGGCTGATGACAATACAGGATAAATGATAACAGTCTTTAGGAAAAACGTGGCCTCTAACTACAGACAGCATTTATATATATATCTAGAACTGAGTTTTGGACCATGAGGTACCATTTGTGGGTATCTAATCAGACACAGAAGTTCAAATGAGTGTATGGGAGCCTACTCTCAATCTCCCAATATTTTCAGAGATAATGCTGAATTAAATTGTCCGTTTTCCAGCTTGTCAGAAGAGCACCAGCCTACCAGAAATGTAAGAAGTTTCAGAACTTTAGTTGGTTACGGTCTGTATAGTGTTCTAGCATTGCAGAAGTCTATATTTAAAAACTGCACTCATTCATGGATAATCTTAATTCTACAAAACCTTGTCTGTTGCACAGTTTATCTCCTACTTTTTCGTTGGTTTGAATGAAAAAATATTCTTTGTTAAACACAGCAAAACAAACAAAAAAATCCACCTCCAATTTGACCATATATATCCCTTTAGAACAGACAGCTGAAGGTAAACAGCACTTTGATGACAAGAGCTGATTCTAGGCTGTGGGATTGAACTAACATTCAACATTAGCCACAACTTTGGATTGAACTAACTGGAAATTATATTTTATATATGATTACATTCTATTTATACTTCATCCTGCTTTAACACCAGTTCAGCTGCTAATAGCAAGATTTACACTTTTTCTGCTCTTGTCCTATTTTTTTCCACTTACTAACAGTATCAGCACTGACAAAGCAAGATGCTGCAGAATGTAAGGGTGTTGGTTTTATTTTTATTTTAAGATTGTGATAAATAGCCATATATATTAATATTTTCAGCTGACTCTTGTTGGGTGATGATACAGAATTTGTACTTTTGGTTTAAGGCTTGCCTGTCCTTTCTGAAATTAGCTTTCTTTTCATATGTCTTTAATTGTAGAAAATGTATTTCCCTTTAAATTTTTAAGAAAGTGGTCCTACACAAATTCTCCATTGAATCAGGGAGAATTTGAGTTCTTCTCCATGCAAGAGTATCTCCTGAGCAAAGTATGATCAAATTGTGAAATATAGTATTATTTTACAGGCTTACACAAACTCATTCAGCTTGGAAAGAACTAATCACAACCCTGATACAGAAGAAAAAGATTTTTATCTTCTCTTGGTTCTGAATATCATATAAATGGTAACAAATTACACAACAACAGGAAAAAAAATATCCCTGGAATCAAGGAAGCCTCTGCGATGCTCTGAGCAAAATACTGAAGTCTTCAAATTAGTGACACTGAAAAAGACTTCGAGCTTAATGTTTACATTTTTACATTACTTTACCAGACCTTTTTCGCAGATGTCGGTGCACATTAACTGTAATTCAGTAATATAGAGCAACATCAATACTTCTCCAAAACTGTACATCTTCTTTATTTTATATAAATTACATGCAAAATCTGCTTCAAAAGCAGTAAAATGAATATTCTTGTGAAGGACCATTTTATATTCTATTAAAAACACTGTCATTTAGAAAAGCAAAAGTACAACTGGCTGTTAAAGCATTTTTTTCTTCTATGAAATTTTCAACAAATATTACAAATAAAATATATTGATAAAATAATTTTAAAAGACGAACTCACACAGAATTTAAGGAAATCTGGGCAATGTCATATTCATTATTTTACACTACTTTAATTTCTTCAGATGTGGACTGAGATGGATTATGAAGTGCAGGGCTGGAATGGTGCATTTAGGATTCCAATATTGCTGGTGTTCATTCTGTCACTGGCATGTACAACTCTCATAATCTTTGTAGGCTACTATTTTGAGATCTTAAGAATTATTTGCCTACAACAAGTTTTATGGAGGCTTAACTGGTCAAACAAAATCTAGCGTTCAAAATGCAAATTAATGTTGTGTTCTGAAATATTAAATTCATTGTTTTTGGTTTTTTTTTTACCACCTAAAGAAAATGCTTGCCAAAATTTTAAGGAACGCATTATAACTGGCACTGATGCTTTTTACAGGAAAATGCTTTTCAGTGAGCACACATACTTTTGCTTTTCTCTACTTTCACTTTCCTGTATTTCTTACATACATACGCTTGCTAACATCACCGTATTCCTGTACTTTTGTCTTTATTCTCTATAATCCGATGTGCACTGCACACCTTTCTGCACTCTGGCTGTAATCTGTAATTAACACAGTGGATGCAGCACTCCTTCGGGGATTGACTGTGGCAGTGGACGTAGTACCCCCTCTTCAATTAGCACGGTTAGCTCCATCTGCCCCACCGAGCTGAAAGCAGTGTCTAGGATGGCCCCTAACGTTCCCCTGGAAATGGAGCTTCCTGGTGTCAAGATTGTACATGCTCAGTTTAACACACCTATGCAGTTGTACTCAGATGACAATATCATGGAAACACTGCAAGGCCAAGTTTCTACAGCTCTGGGGGAAACACCCGTAATGAGGTAATTAGAGAGTATGCTTGATATTTATGAATATATGAATTTAGAATGTACCAGCAGTCGTGGGCTTTAATATCACACTGTTTCTTCAAGAATGTGTAAAAGGGTTAAAGACAAAATAAGTTATTTAAAGGCATTGAATGTTTCCATTAAAACACTAGTAGTTGATGACTTTTAGTATTAAAGAGGTCTTTCAGAATTTATAAATAGCTCAGAGGAAATAATCTTAAATTTGTAATTAATAAATAAAAGCTGATTAAACTACCTGGACAACTTGCTGACTGGTCATTCCAAATTAAGATTCTGATTCCCTCCCAAATTCATAATTATTTATTTATTTTATATTTTATTTTATATATTAATTATTTATATGTTATTACTATCACCGTTGGTATTTAATAATTTATTAATTTAATAATCTTATTAAATTATTCTTAATAAATGATTCTTATTGATCATTAATGCAATATTATTATTAGGTCAAATTTATTTCAACTGCTGAAGTTAGGAGATCTTGTGGACAGATATTCATACTATTTAACTCCCTCTTGGGACAATTCATTCAATAACTAGCTTTTATCAAAAAACAGCCAGTTTGACTTTCTAAACCTAAAAATAACCTAAAAATTAAAAGATGATTTATGAATTTTATTTACTAAAGTAACTAAAAGTCAGGTAGGAACCTCACCAATATGGACAGCAGTGATAAATAATAAAAACTTTTAAAACTCTACTTATCTTTACAAGGTACAATTAATCATTAATTTTGGTTTATCTTTATTTTTGCTTAACAGTACTTACTTTTTTGTTATACAACAGGACTTAATAATTTATAATATATATGGTGTAAACTAAAGCTAATCACTAATACCTTAAATAAGCAGTAATCACTGGCACAAATAAGCCTTCTTCAGCACTTTGAAGAACTGGGCTGTAACTAACCATAAAGATCAAATTTATAAAGAAATATTTATGTTCATGCTAATTTGATGAACACAAAACTGTACTTCATCTGAGCAATGTTAATCTACTGCATTGATGTTTACCCTCAATAACAACAACAAGAATAGGGAAAAAGAAAAAAGCCAAATGGCTTTTTCTTTATACTGTCATAATGGATTAAGCCCAAAGTAATGAGATTTCACAAAAGCTTGTAGTGTTCTCAGTTTGAGAACTGACTCTCTACACAGGTTTCAAATGTCTTTTCTGTTACGGCATTCATTTTTACTCTGTACGAATTTAGGAATGTTATCTCATAGATTTGTCTCTGTTTTTTGCCTTTTGTATGTAATTATATTATCACTTGTTTGGATTTCAGGATTTTAGTCAAGAAGAGAGACTGAGGGTCTGAATTTGCAATAGTTAAAATCTTTAGAAGTGAGCTTACTCTACAGATTAAAAGCTTATTATGAAAGAACAGAACACATTTTATACCAGCTTAAATATGGCTCTGAACAATTTGGTTGCTCAGAGAAGACACAAAGAATTAATGTAGTCAACAGTAGTTATTCCTCTTACTGCACTATGTGACAGCCCAGATGTTATTCTGGGAAGGTAACAAAATCATCTAAATCAAAACCAGCCTAATTTCCCATGGAATTAGTTACTTTTTTTCCAGTGGCAACTTATTTAAGGTACAACAGACAATAGAAGGCTTGTTGTAATAGGAAATTTAAACTGGACATTTACACAAGTATCAGTGAGATAACAGACTTCACTGAAGTAATTTTTACCTAATTAATTCCAGTAGCAATTTGAAATTTATGGATGTCACACGTTCGCCTCAGCTTCCCAGTATGTATAGTCATCTGCCCTTTCTCTCAGACACTGAAAATGTTAGTTAGCTCAATCAATTTTAAAATTCAGCATGATTTAAAATACCACAAAACATTTTTGGTAAAATCTTTTGTTTGCAGGTCACAAGAAATTCAACCACAAAACACTATCTGGACAAGAATTTACCTTATATTTTTGTCATGAAATTGCCATTATAAAAGTCACATCCCACCCTAATTTAATTTTAAAAGCAGATTTTCCGTTCACCTGTGTTTATCTGCAAATGCAGTACCTACTTCAGTCTCTTTCTGTCACCTTCATAAATTAAGTAACAATTAGATTAGATAAGTAATCATTATTGTAACTAGTGAATGAGCCAACTTAGAAAAGCATGAATACCTTGACTTCATGGCACTCTCCCAAAGTGTTTGCTTAGGTTTTGGCTGACCCTATGTAACAATCTGGTCTGTGGTTTTATCAGCATTCCTGAAGCCAGCTGCTGTGAAAATGGAATTTCTGGATACTGGACCAGAGAGCATCTGGTAATACAGCAGTTGATCACAAGAATGCAACTGCTTTGAAGTTAAACACAAGTACTGGCCTATTTCCAAATGCCCTTAGAGCCAGAGCAGTAATTATGGAAACAGCGTCATGAGTTCGTAGACTTATTTTTGTAAGAATTCCATGGATATCTTTTTCAGTAGACTAGGCTCCAGAGAAGCCTATATAAAGCAGTGCTACCTGGAATAAACAGTTTTCCAGTGGCTGGAGAAACTCACATATCTCTATGGCTGTTTCCTGAATCACATTCTATGCCTGGCAGAGCTGTTCATTTGAAGTTATGTCTGTTAACTGCATTCTCTGCTCTTCCTCCCTGTGACGCAGTGACCCAGCTCCCACGGCAGTGCCTCAGTCTGACGTGTACAGGATGCTGCACTCCAACCAACAGGAGGAGCCCAGCCAACCCCGCCAGTCTGGCTCCTTTAAGGTGCTCCAGAATTTAGTCTCCGAGGAAGGTGGTTAATAATAACATATTCTACCTGTTCAACTTTTTTTTTTTTTTTTTTTTTTTAATATTTGTTAGAGAGGGGAATTAGAGAATAAGAGAGATCAGAGCTGCCGAGATTTCTGACAGCCCAAGTCTTTATAAATCTGACAAATAGTACACAAGCCTAGTAACATTTTTCCCCTTGCTCTTATGGCTAGCAATGTCTTGTGTTAATAAAACGGTGATGTTAGTTTAAGACTGCTAATGTACAAAATAATTTGTAACTGAATGATAAGTTTTATGTGTAAGAACTTGTGGAACACAAAGAAAGAACACACTCTCTTCCACATCCAGAAAAAAGAGAATTTTAAGCCAGGCTTCTAAGAGAAGTTTCACTCGTTCCTTCTCCATTCTAAATGAAAACTAAAGAGGACAACACCATATTTCCTCATATTTCCTCCAAATGAAGAAGTTTTGAAAATAACAATAAACATTATTAAAGGCTACAAGTTTCTAATATTTATAATTACATTAAGTATAAAGAATAAAATATAACCAAATTTAAGCTGTGAATATTATAAATATTTATAATTTTTCCTTTTATATCTAAATATTTATGAGAGAAGGAATGAATGCGTCTATTTTTTCTGTACACATATTATTGTGGGATTTTATTTGGCATCTTCTTTTATATTTTATATAATTATTATATTATATTATTTATATTATTATTATATAATTTTATATTTATATCATGTTACAAATCTTTTTGAACTCATTATATTGTTGTATAAATAAGTAAGCTTTCAGAGAGGTTGTGACTCTGTTAAGGCCCTATGTTAAAGCCAGATCCTCCTCTTTCTCCTGTTTATACCCAAGACCTGCTATCTAGAATTTCTGTGTGTTTACGAGATAGAGAGCAATATATTTTTAATCAAGCTGTATCTGCTTTTTGGCTACAGTACACATCATTGTTCCCAATTCTAAAGACATGGGATTGGACTCACAAAGCTTATATCAAGAAATTATTGGGCATAAGTGAAACTTTGTAAACACAGAAGTACGTATTTGCAGGAAAAGATTTAACTGTAGCAGACACTTTTGTATCAGCCTGTATTTAACAGAAATATTTTGGATTTCAGATGGACGTCCAGTGGGTACAAGAAGTGTGAAAGCACCTGTAACAAAGATACCTACTGGCCTGCCCGGAGCCCAGAAAGTACCACAGTGTGACAAATGTGGGAGTGGAATTCTGTAAGTTGTTTCTGCTCAGTTTTATAAATTTCTAGCTTAAGTGCACATCCCCAGTTTACATCTAGATAAACTACAGGTTTGTAGGTTGTTCCGTAGTATAAAGCATCCTCCTGACAAGCCAGTGGGAGCATCAAAAACACTCTGATCTGTTTTGAATCTGCCAGCTTTATATTCTAATGACATCACTAATTTCAGCAAAGAACACAGATAATGATGAGGAAATGAGTTTTATAAATACATTAATTTATTCAACGTATTAATAGGTGAGACTATACGTAAAGTGTTACAACCAAAATAAAATGTTTCTTCAAACTGGTTTTCCAGTGAGCTATTAGAAAGCTTATGTCATCATCTCTAACGCATTTTATATTCTAATTATTCAAATTCATCTTACAACTTTAAATTCTCTAGAAGCTGGCAAAACCACTGGAGAAACAACTTAAAGGCCTTAAAAGAAACACCTAAAACTTATCTTGTGTTACACTTTAGTTTCTTTGCACTCTAAATTCATATGAATTAATTGCTTTTTCTTGTTTTCACACAGAGGAACAGTGGTGAAGGCACGTGATAAATACCGACACCCAGAATGTTTTGTGTGCTCTGACTGCAATCTTAACCTGAAACAAAAAGGCTACTTCTTTGTGGAAGGCCAGCTATACTGTGAAGCTCATGCACGAGCTCGCATGAGGCCACCAGAGGGATATGAAGCAGTTACTGTTTACCCGAAATGCTAGTCTTACATTAGCACACAAATATACGCATGCACACGAGAAGCCATTAACAGCTTAGAACAGCAGTACAACTGTCAGGACTTCTGTCTGAATTCAAAGTAGCAGCTTTTAAACTTTCTCTTGTGATATTCTGAGGTGGAAGTCCCTATTAATCAGCAGTAACATACCATACCAGTAAAATTCAGCTAAAATTTTATCCTTGAAGTTGCCAATACAGCTCAATGGAGTATGAACTGAAACAGCTGTACAGGAATAAATAAAATAAATAAATAAAACAATTGAAACATCAGGGGTATTACACAATTACTGAGGTATATGCACCCAGTTGCTGTAATTAAGACATTATTTTTAACATGTTAAGAATCTAATATCCGTACAAATAGCAAACCAATCAAAAGCCTCATTGTGCTACAGGCTGGGCCCTACCCAAGAAAGAAACATGATCAATCATTAGAAAAGAAGCTATTTTACATGGATACTACAAAACAATGGGATGTTCATGCCTGTTTCAACCATTCAATTATCACCAATGTGTGCCAAAAATAGATTCTGCTTACTTTGCTTTCAATTTGGGGTTATATTTTCTTGATTTTCTGATGCAGCAAATGTGTTAAGAAATGAATGTCATTTCATATAATAAAAGGGCTAGTATCATAATGATCATTTAGTTAAGAAGCAAAATAATTCTACACTGTTTAATGATTTGCAAATGAAATCACCTTTTAGCTCTCACATCACTTAGCAGAAAATTATTCTGAGGTAGGCACACCAATACATTATTTTTGGGAGAAAAAAAAAGAATTTGTTCTATTAGGAATTCACTGCAAATTGAGAATGAAAGTAAATTTAAAAGCCTTTCCACAGAAAATGTTTCTTTCAAGTACTGTTCATTTTTTTGTTTCCTCTAGATTATTCAATTTCCATAATAGGAACAATGGGAAAATATCACCATAGTATCTTAATTCCTGATAATTAAAACTTGGACAACTTATAAAATGACTGATAATTAACACTTAGAAAGGAAAGATCTTTTATGAAAAGACTGGTGAACTCACAGTTTTCAAATGAATTTCTGAATTTCTGAATGTTCTGTAAGGGCTCCATTGCTTTCAGGTAGGTATGCCAGCTGCATACACACACGCACATGACAAACTTCGCCTTAGCATCTTCCAGAAATACTTAACACAATACTTAAATTCATAGCAGAAATGAACAACTCAGTGACAAAGAATCTTACTTTTCTCGCTCTAAAAATGAAAAGCTTAGAATGTAAGAAGAATCAGGAATCAAAATAAGAGGCTGTATACAATTTAGATTTATTTTAAAAAATCAGATGAGTCCCAAAGCCTGAAATGCAATGTTTGCATATTCAAAGACTTTTAGTTTTAGTTTTAGTATTATTTCAGAATTAAAATATTTTAAAAATCTATGTGTCACTGTATTCAGAATTTAAAACTGCATATCAAAAGCATATAGAGGCACATCCCTTTAAATATTAGCTAGCAAATTATTTTCTGGCACAAAACAATTCTGTTCCTTATGTATCATGAAGGCTATATGTAGTATTTATATTTTTCCACTGATAAAATTCATAAAGTAAACCTAAAAATCATTTTGACAGTGAGAGTGCACGTGTCTATTTTTACAAACTTGCAATGCGTCATTGGTGTTTTTAAATAATTGCTTAATGTTCATTTCTTTGTGGAGCAACTGAAGGTAAAAATAAATATACTATATATGATAAGGATTCCGCATTTCTTTTCAACTGGTATGAAAAATGGGAATGTATGAATGTCAAGTGACTTAACAATAATAGAAGTTAGGCATTTTCAGCCACACAGGAAAGAATGTTTTGGATTTTATCAAACAGCTGGCCAGAATGAAAGAAGTTTTATATTAGACATTTGAGCATACAACCTAGGCAAAATCAGCTTTCTGAAAGTGAATACAATGATGTGCTTTCAAAGCTGAAGACTGTCTTTAACAAGCCAAACATATCAATTAAAAACATGAGGAAATTCCTGGAAATGTAGCCATAAGAAATATTAGGTTAAAAGAAAGCCAGAGAACATGACCTGATGACAAATCCGTGAGTGAAGTTCAGTGGCATTGCATCATGACATGGTGCTATTTTGGGAGGTTTGAGGTCTGAGATTATTTTGATAGAACTTGAAAGCCTATCTAATTGCAAGTACCAACCTACGTGCAAACCTTTACACCACTGTAAAACGAAAGAAACATCAACGTTCAATTCATTCAGATTCAAAAATCCTTGATCCTGATAGAGGAATTGGAAATTGGAAATCACATCCTACCTTCTCTCCTGCCTGAAGATATTAAATACAGAGATTTAAATGTGAGAGAAAGATCCAGCAGTTCTCTCTGTAGCACACTCAAGGCCACGTTCTTTACCTCTGGTGGGTGTCAGGGCTTATTGGCACAAATCCCATACATACAAAGTGTTCAGCTAAAGAACGATCCACTTTATCTGCTGGCTTAAGAATCGCATACCCACTAAATCAAGACAGCGTAATACTACTATGCTGCTCAGCTGTGTCCAGACTTTATATATATTGCAAGCTAGAGAGAGCAATGGCATTTATTTTTAGATGGAGAGAAAGACAGTAAGTGTGACTTCACATGCTTGTTATCTAGACTCTTCAGATGTCGATCAACAGGTGTGAAAAGCTTTCCTCAGCTATGTTACTACTGCATAAACAACAGGGCTATTCTAAGATGAGCTGGAAACGCATGAAATTTTAACTCTTCAAATGAGCAAGACAAACATTGCATCTAAACATACACCAGATTGGTTTACAGAGTGCTTCTGTATCAACTGTTCCAAGACAAATGCTTTCATTCTCTTACATAATGTCAGAGTGCTACCAACAACCTGAAACTTCAAAATCTTTTTAAAGCAGTTAAAATAAACTCTGTGTTTCCAATAACTCAACAGCCTTCTTCGGTTTCCAACTGCATTCCAACACTTTAAAAATATATTAACAATTTTGTTCAGATCAGAAATGTGCTTTTGAAATCCCTCATCATTCCACTTAACTACATTTTGCTTCACATCATACAGCAATTTCAAAGTGCATAAAATAATTACCTTTATGATCAAATGCAACTAGATGATCTTTAGCAGCACTGCTAACACACACCATCCACTAAAGGGAAGTCATTCAGCAGAATCAAATTAGAGCTAAATAAGCTCTCCCTGAAATACACATTGAGTAGATGCCACATCCTCAGAGCCATCTGATTTGCTCGCACTGTACCATGCAGTCTGCTATTTACTGTAGACATAATTTTAAGACAAAATATTTAGTAAACACAAGCAAGACTCTGAGCAACAGGAAAAATCCCTGGCAATTTTTTCAGTCTTTCTTTTCTAGATAATCGTTTGAAAACAAATTTTTATACGTCTCATTCTTTATAAAATTACTTTTTATAATCTTTTTAGTATATTCCTGATCTAAGAGGTTTTTAATTGTCCTGCTAAACCAACAGCCTACAGAATGTTAAATTTTAACTAGACCAGGTACACTAAAGAGACATGGCTGGAATAATATGTTCAATGGCCCAAACAAACAAACAAACAAACAAAAAAAAACCCCACCATAACACATGGAGCCAAATTTCAACACTTTCAAGAAAAAAAAAAAAAAGTTGTTTGTAGCATCACACAAAACCTGAAGGGGGCTATTAACACCTCATATGACTGAACAAGGCACAGAAATACTCATTCTCCTTGTAGGTAGAAATGAAGTTTCAGAGCATCAGCTTAACAGCCAGTAGAATTACAAGGTACTTACAGGTTGTGCACATACACAATGTGCAGGCAATTTTTCTTTGAAAAAGAGTAAAACCAAAGAGAAGCTATGACTGCACACAAGACAATTTGTTTGACATTCTATTTATAGGTAAACTCTTTAGGTACCTATAGGTATACTCTTTTCATATATTGACTATTTCATTTGTGTGTAGAACTCATTCAACATTCTTAATGAATGCTAGCTACTTCGTAATCATATTTCTGATTGAAATTTCTGTAACTGGCAGTATCATGAATAATTGTTGCCACTGCTACACTTGGCTAACAGTGGGACATCTACAGCCTGCCCATTTAAGGAAGCTGGGAGGGTGTTAAAACTAAAATAGATAATATTTAACAAAAACATTTTAACTTTGGCTCTTTAATTAATTGCAAGAATTACATGACTTGATGTTTTATTCTTCAAATTCACTCTATTTCATTTTCACTGCAATATATCTAGCCTCAAAATTACATTTACTTTTACAGAAAGCACTGCTGTTCACTGCTCTACATCTTGCATCTCTTTGAGTGAGCCAATTCAAAACTGTACCTAAGCAGAATGTATGAGGTGATAAGTACAATTCTTTTACAGCAAGATTCTTTCACGACCTCCCTTACTTCTTTTTATTATTTATAAAAGAAGCACATAATGCGAGAATACTCAGATAGAAACACAATCCAGCTGCAAACAGGCACTGTGCAGAGAATAGCTACCCCACAGCTTAAAATCCAGACTAAGCAGATCAGGCAGATACAGTATAGAAGGGAAAAGACACTGCAAATAACAAATAACATGATAATTTACAAATATTTGGCTCCTTTACTTCCTTTCACAGAAGATTGATGGACTGAGGTAAAACAAAACAAAACAAAACAAAAAAAGCTCCCAAACTGTAAGAGTTAGTAAGCAAGAGAAAAATGCACAAGCGATGATTTAATAGAAAACAAAAACATGCAGGTAAAATGTGTAAAAATTAATCATACACCAAGACAGAAGCAAAAGCTTTCATTAACTGATCCAGTTGCTGGGTAGGTCATAAAAATTTATCTCTTCCCTGAACTCAAATGAATTGTAAAAAAAATGTGAGACCAAGTAGGGATTCTTCACTGTTAACAGGACTAGTTGTTCACACTTCTATGGGAGTGTAAACTAATTAATGATGACATAATCACAAGATTTTTTTGATCCCAACACAGGATTATAATTCTAAAAACGTTCACATATTTCTTCCCTGACTCGTAATTTATCCAGCCTTTTCCATTCTCATTATGATTTATGAGATTCTTCTCCATGCGTACATATACCACAGAGCTCTATTAATTGTCTTTCCCATTTACTTCCTATTCACTGCCTATTAGCAACTGTCCTTTCTGAATCAAGAACTGCTCTCATCTCTCACAGTGGATGAAAGAATGACATTTCAGAAATAATTATTGAGATACGGGTGCTGCCTTTCATTACAGATCCACAACAAAAGCTAGTGAGGTAAGTCCCCTTCTGCAGAGTGGACTGCTGTGACAAAAGGCTGTTCTTTTGAAGTTACATCTGAACACAGACGCGGCTTTTGAAGACTACTGTAGAATAGTGTCAGCTATTGCCCACCTCTAGATAAAAGTAATGATTGAATAAAATATATATTTTAGCATCTGAACGGATAATGAGCAATCAAATCACTCCTAATTCTTCTGTGGCACATAAAGAAAAAATGCAAAACTTCTGAGGCACTCATACAGCAGTGCTGCATGGGACCTCAATGCTGTTCGCCAGAAGAATTTTCATATTAATTCAATTTTCCAAAACAGAACTTTCTCTGAAATGCTGAAAGGGCTCTAATTCATGCTATCACCACAATACAAAACATAATACAGTAATATGAAATGAGGATATTCTCCTATTCTGCTAGTTCACTAGTTCACAGGCCAGGAAAAAAAAAAAAAAAAAAAAAAAGTGTTTAACTTTTTATTTCAATTTATGTACTGGATATGTGGGAGAAATGAATTAATAGTATCCTAATCAGAATAATATAATGCTTACATAGATTCTCTATATTTAAAAAAAAAAAAAACCATCAAATTTGCCACAGTGACAAAAGAATATTTTTTTCATTTATTATATGAATCTGTCCTTGACACTTCAGATCTCCCTGAAACATGTCAATTTCAGTAAACTGACAGCAGCTCTAACTTATACATTGCCTCCCAAGTTAGAGAGCCAAACTGATGTCACCAATTATTTAATGCATTCTATCTCTATGATCACCTCATCAGATCTTAATGCTTCACATACTTGGATACTTACTGCTATGCTTTAATAAACATGACCAGGTTGCACCTGTTCCAAGGTTCATGGAAGCTATCCACTCAGTCTCACGATAATCAAGAGGTAACAGCTGCCCCTGTAGCTGAATTAATATTTCTGCCATACTTACGGGGATAGACAAATGAACCAGCTGTTCATGTTTAAACTACATTTCCCTAAGAACATTCCTGGGTCTGTAAAGACCTGAGTCATACAGTCTTAAGACAGTTTGGTATGTGATACTGCAAGCTAGGACAGCAGTACGTTTTTAAGTCTCTTTCTGCCACATTGTTGCTTTTTGTTTGTTTTTTAAATGAAAACAGTAAGTGAATGGCGTTCTTTAAGGAGGAGGCTACCAACGTCAGACGCCAGTTAAGGAAAATGCCAGTAAACCTGGGTAATTCTTTCACCCTCATTCTGAAATAATATTTGCAATTTATCTGAAGTTTTTCATTAGATGACATTGAAATGACTCATAAATTAATATTTTTTGCAGTCTTTTGAAGGGTAGGAAATGTATTCAGCATCAGTTTCAAAAAGAATTTTTTTTAATTTCTCCCAAAACTGTTTACCTTCTTATTGGAGTCATCAGAACAAGAACATGAACAAATAGTAGAATTCTCCTCAG